ATTCTATTTAATTTAATACTATGACAGTTCAGTGCTTTAATGATTTTTAATTGGTTCAATTCCACGATTATCAAAATATTCAATAATTCAATAATTCACTAGTTGATTTGATATTATGATAGCTGAATCCTTCAATTGCTCTTAATTTGCTCGATTGTTCAATTGCTCGATAATGAAATAAATTGCCAGTTGATTTGACCTAGTGATAGTTCAATGCTCCAATTGTTCAAAATTGTTAAATTATTTTCGATAATTAAGTAAGTTGCTGGTTGAATTGACAATGTTTACACTCAAAAGTTCTTAAACAAAGAAATTGTTAAATTGTTTCATGTGTAAGTAAGATTCTATTTAATTTAATACTATGACAGTTCAGTGCTTTAATGATTTTTAATTGGTTCAATTCCACGATTATCAAAATATTCAATAATTCAATAATTCACTAGTTGATTTGATATTATGATAGCTGAATCCTTCAATTGCTCTTAATTTGCTCGATTGTCCAATTGCTCGATAACTAAATAAATTACCAGTTGATTTGATCTAGTGATAGTTCAATGCTCCAATTGTTCAAAATTGTTAAATTATATTCGATAATTAAATAAGTTGCTGGTTGAACTAACACTGTGTCAATTGTTCTTAATTGTTACACGACCAATTAGTTCGACGGTTAGAGAAACATTTGAATATTTCAATTAGGAATCTGTACAACTTTTCTTTTCTAAATCACAATTGCAACGTTGCATCCAACAGTTTCAAACACACAGCTGCCGGACATAGCAGATAGCTGCAGTTCAAAGTGCAGCAGCATGCAACGCAATCCATTGAGAAACGTTTTAGGAACTGGAAAATTCGACGGTCAAGTGAATCGTCCTAGGATTCGTTTAACGAAGGGTGTTTTGTCTGATCCCCCCGTAGCATTCGACCCTCGCCTCTTTCAGGATTGGATAGGCAACCCCATGCCCAACCCCCGTAGCATTTACGATGGCCGAGGGTGTTCTTCGTTCTCCCTCCCTTCGACGAATCCAAAATGGGAACTGGTTTTCATACGATTATGAACGCGAGATGTAAGAGACGGCAAAGGACAATAGGGACAATAAAAGATCGTAGGACAATAGTTTCTTTGGAAATGATTTCGTTGACAGTTGCTCTAAACGAGAATACGTGTGTGCGCGCGTGTATGCGCGCGCTTGCGTATGGAAATACGTGGCATCAATAGCCATGGAAAATATTCTGTTTTATATTATTTGTTCACTTCTCTGTTTCGTTTTCTTTTGAGATTACAGCAGATGATACCTAAATCATTATTTATTATTTATTATTTCTGGCATTCGTTTCATCTAAAAACGTTGTGTAACGCAGTGTTCGTTGCATTCTTTTCAGTACAAGCATTTTTGTAAGACGATGATTATAATATAGTAAAATGCTGTTCAAGTGCAAATTACGTTTGCACCCGCTATAAATGCGATTAATATCGATAATTTTATACTTCAGTAAATAATCGCTAATAACATGTTCAATATCAATAATTTTCAGTATCAATATTCTTTAATATATTCCAAATGAATGAGTGACAATATTAATGTAATACAATATCAATAATCTACAACATCAATAATCGAGAATATCAATATTTTTCAATGCATTCAACACGAATAATCTACAATATTAATATTCAATAATGAATTCAGAATCAATAATCTGCAGTA